TGGGAGCCCTTCTGTGCGGAGTTTGCATGTTCTCCCCGTGTCAGCGTGGGTTCTCTCCGGGCACTCCGGCTTCCTCCCACAGTCCAAAGACATGCAGATTGGGGACTAGGTTAATTGATAACTCTAAATTGTCCGTAGGTGTGAATGTGAGCGTGAATGGTTGTTTGTCTCTATGTGTCAGCCCTGCGATAGTCTGGCGACCTGTCCAGGGTGTACCCTGCCTCTCGCCCGATGTCAGCTGGGATAGGCTCCAGCCCCCCCGCGACCCTCAAGAGGATGAAGCGGTTAGAAGATGAATGAATGAATGAATGAAATCGACACGTCTCACGTCTGAATAAAATTCTGAATAAAAAGTCTGAATAAAATTCTCAATAAGTAGCCTATGCCTAATGATGATGATAATAAAAAAATGAATCTTTTATTCATCCATAGCCTAATAGCCTATGCCTGGTAATTCTTTATGTTTAGGTCAGATTGGTTAGGTTAGATTGATGTATAGACGTCTCTTTCCCAATGCAAGTGTATAGGAATGAGTCTTTTTGGGCTCAGTGGCATCATATTTTGGTCTGGGAAGCTGTAGTTACACGGTTTGGACACTATGTCAGAATGGCCCCACTTCTTGGGGCCTGGCATACTCCATTAGCCTAGTTTAAGATCACTTAATGAGCATGTTACACAATAATGCTGTACACAATAAAAAAACATACACACAGTAACAGGTACATACAAGTAGGGCTGTGTGGTATACCGGTTCATACTGAAAACCGGTATTTATTTTCGTTATGATATGAATTTTTCATATACCGCAATACCAGTGAATAGCCCAAACAACGCCCGGAACGTGTGCGGCGGGAAAGTGTTTCAGCAGGGACCCATTTCACTGCTGCACACCACAGGCGTGCTAGAGCTGGCGAGAGTGAGAGCATAGAGAAAAGTTTAGAGGTGAGAATGGCTGCCGGAGAGAGTCCTGAAAGCGAAGCAACTGTACACGTTGTTGAAGAAGAACTCGTATCAAAAAGAGCAGTGTTTCCCCTATATGCAACTAACAGCGGTGCATTGCCATTTACAATTCTCCTCTGCTCTCTGTATCGCGCACAGTGGAGTTTCGCCCCGATGCGCGCACACACACACACACTAGAGCGCGGCTCGGGCCACATTTTCCTGACCGTAGCCAACCAGAGTCCGAGACAATTATAACAGAGCACAGCACTAATGGAGCGGAGTCTGTGTTGTGTTCACGAAAATAACAAATTCCAACACTTGAATAGGTCATAGCATAACACAGCAACATGTCAAGTGGGCCAAACCCGAGCAAAATACCGTGAAAGCGATATGAGTTTTTAAAAAAACGTGAAGTGAAAATTTTGTCATACCGTCCAGCCCTACATACAAGGAATATGAACAAATTGTAAATAGAATGGAGTATTGGTGAATCAAGTACAAGATTACATTGGTTACACTGAAGAAGCTGCCACCAGAGAAGAATTAGAATGATTATCACTGTCGCTTGATAAGTGACTTGAATAGTGAATATCAAGGTTGTTGTTGGTAAATGTTATGTCATAGATAATAGTGAAAAGCATAATACATTTTCGTTTTTCTCCTTTCTTTATCACTGCTTATCACTGCTTGGTCACATAACAAGACTACATGTTCTAGTTCCAGTCACTGTATTAAAAATTGATAATGAGACATTCCTAGGTCATCATTATTATTATTGTTATTATTATTATTATTATTATTATGTTAACAGATTTTTCTTGTGCTGTGCACAGCCAGACGGTGGACCTCCTGATGCAGGAGTCTGGCTGCAGACTGGAGCACCCCTCTGCCACCAAGTTCCGCAATCATGTCATGGAAGGAGAATGGGACAAGGTAGATTCAAGTTATCTGAAATGCGTATCCAGACTCAGAGAAGTAGAAGAAGTCTAATGTGCCAACATAAGATTGTTTCAGTGTTTGAAAGCTCCATTAGTCAGTGTTTGTCTAGTAATAGGTTGACCAGTTGTGAAACGTAGTCCAGTTTGTGTTCTTTATGCCCCTTCCCTCTCTTTATTCAGGCTGAGAGTGACCTGAATGAGCTGAAGGCACTGATGCATTCTCCAAGTGCTATAGTGGTAAGTGGCAAGCCCAAAAATCCACAGACCACTGATAAACAGCTGTGACTCTATGCAGCAAATAAACCTTTTTTTGCCATGCACAAACACAAGAGCCATGAGCACAAATCTCTGAAAAAGGGAAACAGAAAAACAAAAAAAGAAGATATTGCCGCAAGTGCAAATGCCGGGGTTCAAGCCAGCATGGAAGTTGAAAGATGTGTAAGATCGAGACCCTTTACAATGTAGGACACTTGTGTTAAAGATAAACAACAGGTTTTATGACAATCAGACAGATTCTCATTCATTTATGTCCAAATCTCTACCGGGCCACGCTCTTTCTTGGAAACTCTGTTGCTTCCTGTTGGTCAACAGCAGAAACATTTTGGGGACATGCTTAAATGTCTTATTTAATCAAGGCAACTGAGTTTGGTGATGTTTGAACAAACACTCATTGATTTATTGCCAAATTTTGAGAAAGACCATTGAAGTTTTGTTTGCAAATCCTAAATATTTTTTTGCGAGTCAATTTATTCCGTTTGCAAGTCAAAAAGTTTTGCGAGTAAAAAGTTGCACCTGGTAGGCAGGGCCTAAACTGAAAGCTGTAAGACACGTCTCAATCGGAATGACAGCTTGCAAAGCATTTTTTTCTTCTTCTTCTCTCGGTTGGCGGATTGCAAACAATTTAAAGGTGCATACCGCCACCTACTGTACAAGAGTGTGCAACATCATCATCGTCATTTAGCATTACATTACACATTCGTTTCTCAATTTCTACTCATCAGCCTAGTACGCTTGCAAAGCAACATGGGAGTTCTGTAGTTCACAGGGAATTCAGTGCGGGAGCTGTGGCGAAAATCAATTCTGAAACCGAAGTTTTTCGGGCTCCTGTTTCCAAAAAAAATTCATCCACACGAGTGGTCTGATAAAAAAATATGATACACATGCCAAAGCAGTAGGTGGTGATGTAACTTCTAACGGAAAGGCCATTTTAACCAATCAGAAGTCAGAGTCAATACCGGAATAGGGAAGTGCGGAAAATAAAAACAACCCGATCTAAAAAAGTAGCGCGACCTAATTCAACAGCAGAGGCGCCTGAAAGACAAACTAAACTACCACGAAAGCAGCGACGGGCCTGCCAATGGAGGTCCGACCCGGCCGGATCCAGAACCTCCGTTGGCAGGCCTGTTGCTGCTTTTGTGGTAGTGTAGTTGGGGTAGCTAGCAACAGGAGCAGCCTCCTTCGTTGGTCGTTAGGTCGATTTTTTGTATATGTTATCCAAAGACAGCAGATAGCACGCTCACAAATAAAGTTAGTGTGACATATAGGGTATTTATGTGTATCTGCCCACTCAATTGTGACATTATTTTATGCATAGGATATTGATTTTGTATCTTTACAGATACTATACAGATATACCCCATTCAATTTAAAGCATAACTGATTTGAGTAAAGGCACGAGAGCAAATCTCGGTATATAAACGGTTGGTTTGCGCTGTGTTCTTCAGTTGGCAGTTAAACCTAGAGTAAAGCTACTGAAGACCAGCAAAATCACTGTTTGTTTTCATTTATTCTTTCAGGTGGGTAAATGTCACCTAAGCACCTTCAGATTTTAGGAGTGTACCCTTAATAGATAATTTGTTTTTATGGTTTGTATTGTGCTTTGTTATATTGTGTAACTGTAACGTAAGGTAACTGCATACAAGTGGATGCAACCATCACTAATGCTAGTGTAGTTCCTCAGGGATTTAAGCTGTTATTACTTTAATTTTGACAATCTAACCTGTGACAACACATTAGCTAAGGTTTTAAAGACTGTAACTGTTGGTAGCTGTTGTTGATTTTGTTTAAATATGTTGAATTATAATTTTATGGGTTATTGTTTGTCGGATGATTGAGCTAAGCTAACTGACGCTAACGTCAGCTTTCACTTGTTGCCATAGTAACGGTAAACATTCACATATGGGCTAAGTGCATAGTGCAGAATCAAGCTTCATTGTAAATATAGTTAAGATACATTGTATTTAACACAGGATGTGGGATTTTAGTAGTTAGTAAACTTTCATAAAAGAGCTATTTACCATCACTCTGACGTCAAACAATGGAGACAGGTAATAAAATACTGCGGTTATCCTATCTACACGCAACCGCTGGCACCAGAGTCTTCCAAAAACTTCACCCTGGATTCTGGTTTCAAAGAAACGCAGTTTTGGGGGCCCAAAAGTGCAGTTGGGTGTGGCCAAACAGCCAAATTGCATAGAATAATACACGGTTTCAGAAGTACACGGGTCCGTGTGGACTAGGCCTAATAATAGCAAGAATGTTTTATTTGAACTGGTGCATGTAGATTTTGTTTAGCCAGGGCAGAACTATTCTATGGCGTAACCGTCAGTACCGTCTATGCCCTGGGGTGTAGCTGTAATGCCGATTGTTGAGCGTTTCCAATGGGAGAGAGGGAATCGTGGGTGCAGCCCGCTCAGTATGTAGCCACGTCAAACCCACCAATAGAAACTCTTCTCTCATCCATCAGCATAGGCCCCGCCCATTAAGTGCAGTTGAATTTGCAAGCAAAAGTTTTTAAACTCGCCAGCAAATAGGACTGATCTGCAAGCAAAAGTTTTTAACTTGCAAGCAAAGAGGACTGATTTATAAGCAAAATGATCACATGTTTTTACTTATAAACTTGATTTTTGATTGCAGTTCAAGAAATATGCTCTCAAAACAGTTTTATATGATTGCAACAAAAAGACACAAAAATACCTCCATAACAGTCAAGATTTTGTGCAGATGTATGAATTGTCAAGAACAATGTGCAGTACTATTAAGTGTTCAAAATAGTAAATAAGTTAAGTAAGTAAATATTTTGAGTTTGAGCAACCGCCTACGAGCTAAGCATACAGATGTAACTAATCAGACTGATGTCAGCGGGAAACTGCATCGCCAAAGATAACAAAGAACTATTGAGGTACATCTGCAAAGCAACACAGACACACCACCATACAAGAGGATGTTCTCAGGTTGGCATGTTGTAACTGGTCATATGTCTTACTGCCGGCAATACAATAGTTTCAGTTATACAGGACCCGTATTAATCAGAGAAAGCAACTAAACTGGAACTCCCGAAAAATGAAAATGCTGTTGCATTAATTGAGCATCATTGGATGTCAGTTAATAAACAAAATTATATCAGAGTATTTATCTGGAACTATGTATTTCTTTCCAAAAAAAAAGCACTGTATATGACAGAATCAGCCCTTTGAAGTTGTCTCCTACCTCTAAAGTCATGGTTTCAAGACCACACTGTTGTAGCAGTGCCAGGGGCGCCTCCAGAAATTTTTCATAGGGGTGGCCAGATGGGGCCACTTAAAATCTTGGGGTGGCACACCAAAACTAAAAGCCATAATTTCAGGATTTTATTATACTGTTGTAGTATAGGCTGGTAGAAAACTATTAGAAAGACTTAAAGTCAGTGTAAAGCAAATTCTGTCATTTTCTTCTAAACACATTAAAGTTACAGTTGGTAATCCTGTTCAGAAACACTTCTTGTTATATTGGGTGAAATGGTCCTTCCAACCTGAGAGTAGTCAATACATAATGTGTTCAGAAAAAGGAATGAAAAAAATCAGACCAGACCTGTGGTAGCTGCAGGCCTGTAAAAACTCTGACCAATCCCTGCCATTCGGTGCGAATGGAAAGAACCAATCAGATGCCTTCATGTCTCGTCCTGCCCGAGCCCCCCTCCGTCCCTCCCTCCCTGCATGCACTCATCACGTGTCACCGTTGCCAAAAATATTCAGCACACTCCTCAGCAGAAATACCAAGTTAGCAGGAGTTTGCTGAACAATGGCAGAGAAAATGCAGCCAAAAGTATCACTTCCAGCGTTATTTGTAACGGCTCGCCCCGCTAAACAGGCTGAGAAAGGAAAGTCAGAGGCAGAAAAGGCTGCGAGGAAAAAGGCTTTGGATAAAGCGAGAGGACAAACCAGACATCAACATCCGTGCAGCTTTTGAACGGTGGAGACAACTGAGGGAGCTGAAGGGCCTGAAAAGTGATGCAGAGGTTGCTGTCTTTCTGTTGGACAGGTAATTATTTGCTTATTTAATTACTCTGCCCTGCCGACTGCAGGATGCGCGTTCAAGCTTGTGTGGGGCCGTGGCTTTGGACGGAGCACTGACGGGAGGGGGAAGAGGGGGTGGAGTTTAGAGGAGGTGCCGCTTTCAAATCTTGCTAGCTCTCCAACATTACCAACTATAGCTTTAAATAGGTCATAAAAGTATTCCTCAAAATGTGTAAAAAACCATTTACAATTGAATTGTGGAGCTAGGCTTCACAAACGAAGCTATCCCTGCTACAAACACGCCCCCTGAGGCTGTAGCAGTAAATANTTTATTTATCCTTTATTTAACCAGGTAAAACTTATTGAGATTTAAAAACCTCTTTTACAAGAGTGACCTATATATATATATATGTGTAATATAATGTGTGTATATATATATCACATTTTTCAGGTCACTATATCACCGTTTAGACTAATCTGATGTTTGTCTATAAATACAATGATTGAACAAACATTACTATTTCTGTGTGCACGTTTTGTAATTAATAACATGGTTATTGTAGATTAGCTGGGCTAACCGTTAGCTGTTAGCTGTTAGCCTTTAGCCGTTAGCGGTGCCTGTAATAACTCAGTAACTCAATAAATGGTCCGTGAAAAAAATATTTTTTCCAGCAGATGTCTTAGTTACAACATGATTGAGCTAGCAAAGCAGTTTTGTGTTGCTATGTGTGGTATTTATTCAGTTTTGGGAAATCACGATTGTTAGGGGATTCATTGTTTTTAAAATAGGCTAGTTATCCTTATCCTTAAAAAGACACATATACAGCTTAATTTAAAGGTGTACATTTATTGTAATCAAAACAATTACTGGGAAAAAGCAGGCACTGGCAGATACAAACAGAAGCAAGTACAGAAATACTCAGACCCAGACTATACAGTATGTTTAACAAACACTCATATCATTGCTTAATGTAATACAAAAAAACTATTACAGTTACAAAAAAAAATTCCCACCAGGGATCAATAGTCTCTGATTCTGATTACCAGGCTACACAGTATGTGTAACAAACTCTCATATCTTTGCTTAATGTAATACAAAAATAATTAGATTTACAATTCTTGAAATTCCCAAAGGTCCGACCTAGTATTTGAATCCCATTAGTCCGCCCTCCCAAAAATCCGACCACAGTAACGTTACATTTCAGGGGGGACCAGGCAACTTTCCCCTTTCAGTAAACACAGAGCAGCAGTACCACTAAACAACTGCAATGTCTCTATGCGCGGACTGTGAGGACAGTTGCTTTTATCTCATCGACAGGAAATCACATCATCTGCTATATGTGATGTATATGCCCTTATTTGGATAACACATCCTGGTATTTAGTTGTTTTAGTTTATTTTATTTTGCACAGTTTAAAAATACACAAGAATAACAGATAAATAGTACATGGTGCAGGAAGAGGCGAAAAACCCAGTAGGCTTATTTGAAGCCTCCACCTAAATTTTAAAATTTCACAATGTTATGTAGAGCACAAAATTAACATACAAAAAATGATGATGGCAAACTAAATATATAAAGTAAATAAAAATAACAAAAATCAAAATAAATACATATGAATGTGAATGTGTGATGTGTGTGTGTACATGAGTGTTCTGAATGGACTCATGAGCAAACAATAATGGTACGTGTGAGTGACACAATAACAAACAAATGAAATAAATAAAATAAAATAACAATAACACATGAACAATAATACATTAGGGAAAATAGTTACAATACAGCAGTTAAATGATCTTTTAAACATCTTTTGTAACATTTTATAGAGGAAGATTTTTTTACCAGGTGGAAAAAAACATTCCATAATTTAGTGCCCCTAAATCTTATCAAAAATTGACCTCTACGAGAGAGAAATCTGGGAGGATGAAGATCTGAGGAGTGGCGGGTTGAGTAAGAGTGAATCTGTGAATTTGATTTAAAGTAAGTCAAAATAAAGTAAATTTATTTTTCTGGTGACCCAGTCAGTTTGTTCTCTCCAATTCAATCTCTCATCAACAATAATTCCCAAGAATCTTGTGGTTAACACCTGGGACAACTCAACAGACTCAATTTTAATTTTAAAATTAGGATATGATTTTTTGCCACTGAAAATTATAAAGTTGGACTTTTTTTATATTCAAAGATAGTTTATTTAATCTGAACCATGTAGCATAAGCAGCTAAGGCAATATTAACATCTTTAATCACTGAAATAAATTTGAATGAGAGAGAACTAGGTTTGTGTCATCTGCAAACATTATTGGAGAAAGACTATTTGAAACATTTGATAAATCATTAATATAAATAAGGAATAATAATGGTCCAAGAATGGACCCCTGTGGAACCCCACAGAGAAGACTGGCTTTGTTGGAATAGCAACCTTTAACACAAACAAACTGTCTTCTATTTGAAACATAATTTATACGTAGTATCATGAAAACCATATTTATACAACTTTTCCAATAAAATATCATGGTTGACTGTATCAAAAGCTTTTGAAAGGTCTATGAAAATACTACAGGTAAATTCATTATTTTCAAGTGCAGAGGTAACTTTATCAACCAGGTGAAGCAGAGCCATATAAGTGGAATGATTAAGAATGATTTTGACAAAAGCAGACAAGAACTACCGTAGTTTGAGCGCTGTCCTTGGTGCTGAAGATGTCCCCGAGCCTGTTACAGGCAGCGGTTATAACAAAATCACTTTAAGCGCTGTCCTTGGTGCTGAAGATTCAAAAACAAACAAATGTCTATACTCCAAAACTCACTACTTCTGACATGACGAACCAAGACAGTGTACATAGATTAAAAAAATAACATCAGCAGAAAAACAGAAGTCCTGCAAACCAACAGCAAGTGGTGATTACCATGGCCAAATATCTTTTCATATCTGTAATAAAGAAATAAAAACAAGACAGCTGTTGGCAACTAACGCTGTTGCTGCTGCAGCTACTATTAGGCTACTACTGTTATCCAAACTAAATTAAAGGAAGCAAAGATTGTTTAACCTATAATTCCACATTATGTTGCCTTCTTTCCACAGCAAATAAATTATTTCCTTTTAATGAATGGCTCAGAGAAATGCCGTCTAGCAAAGTTAAATATTTTCACCACCATTTTATTTTTGAAATAGCCTCACATATGATATTCAAGGTGCATGCACACACAAGCAGGATCTCACACACATAAAACGTGACTGGAATTAATAAACAAGCAGTAAATGCACAGTGGGGGTTATTTGTTTTCTGTATCGGCATGAGACGCTGTGTTAATTGAGTGAATCTTCCGAGCCAGACGCGTGTTAATTTGAGTTTGATTTAATTTAATTACACTAAAGTTGTTGAGTTAAACTAACCATACGAGTCCTTTTTGTTTTTATACAGTTTATTGCTGCATTTTAAAAGAAAAAACAGTTAAGTTTTTCTGGGGTTTCATGTTATATCTGGGGTTTTAGCTTGGCACTATGAACCTGTGCCTCCCGTGACCTGTAAAAGTAGCGTTGTGACATAAGCCTCAGTTTCTGTTGTTGGCGAATTATTACAAACTGATGAATTCGCTGGTCAAGGCTAGGCAAAACGTTAGTACAGGTGAGATGACAGACGGATGGATGGTTTGTCTCTAACAAAATACTTTCTGTAGACGTGCTGCAAGAATGGATTATTGCTTAATATACATCTGCAGCCAGAGCGCATTATGCTGTCAATAGGGTTTATGTGTGGGAAATACCAGGATGTGTTATCCAAATAAGAGCATGTATGTCACATATAGCAGATGGATGTGATTTCCCGTCGATGAGATAAACGCAACTGTCCTCACAGTCCGTGCCGGCGCAGTGAGGGAGAAATGCACAGACAGCTTCTGTTGGAAGTGCTGTGGTCGGAGTAACGGGAGGTCGCACTACTGGGTATGAAATCCGACGGTCGGAATAATGGCGTTAAAATGGTCGGATTAATGGGCGGTCGACATTATGGGACTAAAACAATAACACTTGCCGTAGACCTGCATGGTCGGATTAGTGGGTAGTCGGACCTATGGGAGGTACAGGGCACTAACGCCTGGTCCCCACTGGCGAGTGGGGTGGCTAGCAAATTTATTGGGTGGGGTGGGGGGGGCATGGCCACCCCCTGGTGGCGCCATTGAGCAGTGCAGCACTGATTTGCAAGGAATGACTTTAAAAGTCAACATCAGAAAGTACGTTTCTTTGCATTCATTTGATTTCCAATCAAGACACTCTGGTTAGAACGACTTCACCTTGATCATAAGGACTTTAAAACTGTTTTGAAATGCTTAATAATAAAATTTATTTAAGCAACGTTAAACGTTGAAATGAAAATAAGATCGTGAGACAGTGTGCGGGACACTTTTTTTGATTTTTATATATTTTGGGGTTACAGCCTCTCTTCTACGCACCTGCTGTTTTTGGGTGTGCTGAGATATTTCCATACAAATGCTTAATAATGAAATTTTAAACATGCGATGAATCACGATTGACTATTGACATTCAGTGATTAATCACAATTTAAAAAATTCATCATTTGACAGCCCTAGTTTTTATTTAACATAATTTTCCCTCAATGGCACGTATATTTTGTAATGACAACAAACTGGGCAGAGACAGTTATATGATTGGCCATCACCTCAACAGACAACCACTTTAAACACTTCAAATATTCTAGGTAGACACTGATGCACAGAGCAAGATGAGATCCTGAGATCATGTTTACAGTGTTCTCCAAAATCAGCATTTTCATATTTACGGTAAGTACCACAGTCATTGCCCTGTCAGTTGGAAGTGTGTTCCAAACATGTGATGCTCAGAGTTTCATTAACTGATGGATACTTTCATACACATTTACCAAATGTACAGAACACATTTATGTACAGTCTGTTTGAATAGAAAAAAATAAACACTAAATTCCTGCATGTGTGTTTGTAATGAAGTATTGGAATTTTGATAATGGAACAATATTCTTTCTTGATGTTTTGTGGGTAAATGTTGCAGAACACACAAGCTGTGATGACTAATGTCCTTTTTCATGTATTTGCTTTGTCTGCCCTTTGTCCTCCTGTACAGCGGATGAAGTTCCTGTTGCTGCAGCAGAAGTATTTGGAGTATTTGGAGGATGGGAAGGTTCTGGAGGCCCTGCAGGTCCTCCGAGCTGAGCTCACTCCTCTCAAGTACAACACAGAGCGAATCCACATTCTGAGCGGGTTAGTTCACCAGCGGACAGGGAAGTTACGACATACTCTGGAATGCCAATGGAAGCAGAATTATCATTTACAGGGAGAATTTTACAACATTTACAATGTGAAATGTCACTCATTATGCCTCTGTGCCAGCGACAAGCCGTGGACAGAGCCTTTATGTTTTCAGGTTATCTGTCCATGCAAACATATGTAAGTCTATCTGTCCCATTCTCGTGAAGGCGATGTCTCAGGAACACTTTGAGGGAATTTCTTCAAATTTGGCACAAATGTCCTCTTGGACTCAAAGATGAGCATGTTTTTGGCCAAAATTCAAGATCTCATATGCCAATTATGTCAAAACATCACACAAATTTGTAATCACATGAAAAACTGTGAGGTCATAAAGTTCCAGACTGAGGTTCAGTATCTTAAATGCATAGTTGACAGTTTGGCCTGAGGAAAGAGCTAGTGGAGAGTTTCAGTCACTATAAGCAACAAGAACACAAGACAGCATCTTCTGGGGACCTTGAGTATCCATAGCAAATTTAGCATGTGGTAGATATTCTTGATGTGAGATACTGAACTCTGGACTAGACTGACCAAAGCCTCCCAAAGCCAGTAGGGCTTCATGCGTAATGTTTCATGTGCAGCTTTTTGCAAGCTTTCTTCACTCTAATGCTGTGAAGATGATACAACTAAAAACAACCTATAAATGTCAGACTTTTTAAAGCTAGCCAAATATTATTACAGCGTATTGGAGCCATTGTAGGCCCTAAAAATAAAAAAATAATGAAAAATACAGAGCCATGGGAGATAAGACTAAAGTCATAATTTACAAGATAAAAATCTGGATATTCACTGAGATGATACATTTTGGCTGGACCGCAGATGTGAAGCCAGCCCTACAAATGTGGAAGTCTGTCCGTGAGTGACTGAGTGAGGAAGTGTTGAAGTCACACCAATGGTTGAAGTTATTGATGACATTGGTGTTGGTGTTTCCCCACTGGCTGTTGCTATTTTGAAGTAAATAGGTGGTGACAAGCTGACAGAGCTGTGGACGCTGACAGTCTCGTATTACTGTATAACTCATTTGCTGTAACCAGTGTAGCGTGAGAGCATGGTGGAATTACCAAGCTAGTTAGCTAACTAGCCAGCAGTTACATGAGTAAAATGTAACAACTTAATGCTACAAAATTCTCTTGTCACAGTGTAGGGAGCACATTTCTATCATCAGATTAGTAACATCTTTTTTTTTTTACTCATTTTGTGTAAGCACAGACAGAGAAAAGAGTGGATCACCTCATCAGTGTGTTTGAGGAACACACAACTGTGTCTGCATGACACAACCCTTAAATTTGTTTAAAAGTATTTACCATTACGTGTTAGAAAGTCAGATTTGGTGCTGGGGCAATTATGAGAAAAAGGTGGTAATAAGACACTAATTTAAACTGAAGTGAATATTACATGTTAAGATGTAGGAATGGATGCCGCCATAGTGACAGAATTCTCCTTAGTAATCGGTGCTAATAGGATGTTTTATAAGCTATTTTTATCAGCAGAACTTGACTCCAATAGTGGCTGAAGGCTGCACAGCTTACACCAGTCACACAGGGACGTACATCACTGACTGAGGCTAATGGGGGCAGGGTTCCCACGGTCATGGAAGAACTGGAAAATTCGTGGAATTTCACAATCACATTTTCCAGGCCTGGATAAGTCATTGAATTAATAAAAAATATTGAAAATTTTGAAAAAGTCATGGACTTTGTTGTAATGAAATTGTTACTGTATTCTTCCATGGATAACCTTATACGTGAAGGCAAATTTATTTTTTGTATCTGTCGATGTAATGTAGCTCGATGCATCGATGTGTGAAAACATTTTGTTCACCATCACTTTTCTTTATTTTCTTCCTGCATTCCATTCTTCTCTTCTTCCCGCTAGCTGAAATAATGTTTGAATAGAGTTTGAATCTAATATTTTTCAAAAACATCTGGCAAGTGGGCTTGCACTTTATTTTAAATCAATACGCTGTACTTAGATCAAGAGTGTGTTTATTTATTTGGTCTATATTTAGGTGTATTAACCCCCTCCTATCCACCAGGGTGGGCACAGGCCCTTAAAAAGTCCTTAACTATGTTTATATGCATTTTCTAATAAAAGGCCCTAAAAGGTCTTAATTCAGATTGGACGGGTCATAAATGTCTTTGAAGTCACATTTTTACTTTATAAACTAAAGGAATATTTAAGTTTTTTATTGTAAACTTGCCACTTTAATCTTACAGAAGATGCAATTTTTTGTCTCACAAATTCACGACTTTATTCTCAGAAGTTTTTTTTGTTAATATTTTTATACTCACAATATCCCATTATAGAATATATATACTTATTAGATACACTTGTGGTTTTAGACTTGTCATGGGCAGTAATGACATCAATAAATATAAAAACAAAGTGACACTGGTGTTAGTGTATCATTTAAAATTTAGTTACATTTTCCTGCTTGTTTTTTATGTAGTAATTGTCAAAGGGGAGCCTTTATTATATGAGCTGCATGACAGGGCAGGCCCAGATTGATAGATTTGTAAAAGCAGATGTGTGTGTGTTTGACAGTAGCTGAGAAAATGTCATCATGTGTTCTGAAGGTACCTGATGTGCAGTCATGCGGAGGACCTGCGAGCCAAAGCAGAGTGGGAAGGCAAAGGCACGGCATCCCGAACAAAGCTGTTGGACAAGCTACAGAGTGAGTGCAGTCTCGTACTTTTTTTCTACCACACATAGTTAACACTGCCTTTGTACTATCATTGCTATGTAAAGCAGTAGCAGCCACATTAACAGCAGTGGGTAGGTCTCAGGTGTAGTATGTGTTTGAAAATGTTGCTTTTCCTGCCCATTCTAAAATCCAGCTGCTGCTTCACTCATGACATAATTTGGATTATTTGCTCAGTTACATCTCAACCTGTTGCTAACAGGATAGGTCAACAGTGTGTTTATCTTGGCCATTATGATCTTGGTATACAATATTATAAATAGGATTGAAGTCTTTAGCCACTATTAAAACATCATGTATTCATTTGCAAATTTTCAGGGTTCGGTGTTTAAGATTTAGGGGGAGTTGATGGCATCTAGCAGTGAGGATGGCAACCATCTGAAACTTCTCCCAGTTAAAATTCCATCAGTGTTTGTTGTTCAGAAAGTATTTTTTAAGGAGCCTCATTATCCACAGGGGTCTCTTCCTCTCCAAAACAAACTGACCAGGTGCACAAAACCGCTAAAATCACTGAATAAAGCAGTTTCATGTATCACTCACAACATGCCACTGAGAGCTCACCCCTCTTTTCACGTAAGTTATTTTTTACTTACCATGTCCTAATCCTAACATTCAGCAGGTTTTTACCATGAGCCAAATGATCAACAGAGGTCTCTTCCTCTCCAAAACAAATGGACCAGGCAATTTAAACTAACTGAAACACTGAATAGAGGAGTTTTATGTTCTGGACCAGTGTAACTCCAGCACTGCTCATTGCAGTTGAGCTTCTTACTTCTTAAACGTGAATGGCCCTATCTGGAGAAAGTGTTTGGTTACTGTAGAAACATGACGGTATAACATGGTGACCTCCATAAACAAAGACCTGCTCCTTATGTAGATCATTCTAACATAACAGCTCTTATTTTCTTTTTTTCTTAAGATATTTTTTGGGGTATTTTGCCTTTAATCGATAGGACAGTCAAGCGAGAAAGGGGGAGAGAGAGAGAGGGAGTGACATGCAGCAAAGGGCCACAGACTGGAGTTGAACCCGGGCCACTGCGGCAACAACGCCTGCCCTATCCACTAAGCCACAAAGGTCCGTGTATCATTCGTTCATTCCATTTTCAATTTAAAATCAAAAATCAAAAAATGAAAAAACAGTTTGTTTTTTCATTATTCGTTTAATAATCACATTCAAAAATACAAAAAACGGTTTGTTTTTCTTATTTTTGATTTTATGCTCACATCAAAAATAGAAAATTGAAAAATGGGCCACGATGGAGGTCAGGGTACCTTCAGGCAGTTCGTTTTTTCGTTTTAAACCAAAAAACGCAAAAACGGAAATACCATGGTTTTCCCGTTTTTCCTTTTTGGTTTAAAATGAAAAAACGAGAAAATGGAGCCGTTTTTCCGTTTTTGTTGTCAGAATCAAAAAACAAAAAATGACAAAACCAAATTCAAATAAGGTCAGGGTACCTTCAGGCAGTTCGTTTTTTCGTTTTAAACCAAAAACGAAAAACGGAAATACCATGGTTTTCCCGTTTTTTTTTCCTTTTTTGGTTTAAAATGAAAAAACTGAGCCGTTTTTCCGTTTTTGTTATCAGAATCAAAAAACGAAAAACGACAAAACCAAATTCAAATAACAGCCTGATTTTGGTTTTTTGCAGATTGATTTTTTCATTTATTGTTTTGGACAAAAAGTAGAACTGTGGTGACATCAGAGGCGGAAGTAACTTCAAAATAAAAGACAGGAAGATAAGCTTGCCTAAAACTTATAAATATCCTATAAAACTTTCTCATGTATCTTTTATTTCCACTTACACCTGATGTTTTGCGCATTTTGAAAAGCTGCCTGCCATTGCTGTGAGGAACTTTTTATTCATAAAAATAGAAATAAAATGTTATGATAGCAAATTTTATGGCTACAGTAAAACTTGTTGTTCAGCCATAACGTTGCTGTTCAGAGACTAATAAGGGAAATCGTCATGCTTATTGTTCCCATGAAGGACGTATAGGGATTCCCTCAAAGGTTGTGTTTTAATATTCATTCACCGAATTGTTTGCAATAAAGTAATCGAGGATATAATAAATTATTGTGTGTGCCGTGTTGTTACTGTTAACACGGGTTTTCTCCATAACGCATCGTTGTGTCAGTGAAGTGTCAAGCTGATGTTTGTCCTTTTTACCAGCAGATGGCAGTAGGCCTATGGATTTATTTGCTGTCATTGAATGCCTGGTTTTCTCTTAGTTTCTGTTGGATTATACAGACCTGCAATTCTTCAGGTTATTGATACGGACCATTCAAATTATATGCAGCCTATATTTACTTGTATACTTTTATATTGTTGTGTCACATAGGCCTATGCATTGTTGGCAGAGATGGGCAGCATTTTAATTACATGTATTTAAAATGTTTTATCACCTACTCTGACAATAGAAATGTCACACAAAAATACATCCTGTGCCTTTTTTCAAAATCTGATTAATCGAATAAAATAATCAATGATTAATCGATTATTTTTTAAAAATATATGTTAGTGGCAGCCCTAACTGTATGCAACACATCTGATTCATATTTTTTTAACCTGTTAATGTTTCTTGTCCCTCACAAATAAACTAATAAATACATGAATACAAACACCTTAGCTACTATTGAACATTAGAATGTGATGAGGAACCTTTAATGTTCATATGAAGGCAAGTGAAGTAGCTGCTATGTTACGTTCTAATAACCTTTCCTATTTTAATTTAAACTTTTTTATGTCAACCTCCCAGTGAGGTGCAGGTTCCTCATTGCTGCCCTTTGCATTGAGGCCCTCCAGACTGGACTGCTATGGACGGAGTGTAGGGTGGTCCTCCTTACTGCTGGGCCTGACCTGTACTGGGATAACATAGTCTTGCAACAGTGAGCCTCGACAAATATCCACTTCATGAAAACTGGGATTAAAAAGTACAACTATGTTATCATTTATGACCTGGATGTGATTGCAAGTCCATAAAACCAAGCAACTGTATTGATGTCTGTGTTGTATTTGTTTAAATAGTCCTATAGCACGATGCTAGCAGCATTGTCACCCTTACGTTCCTCAGTTTGTTTATACTTTGAATATAACTAATCTAATGATCCAAACTGAATAATATTGAAGTGGCACAGTAATGACAGATTCAAAATGTAGTGTGTACCAGTTAAAGTTACTAGTATTAAGGCTAGGCTTGTGTTGACCACAACATGCGTAAAGTGGGGACCACAAGCAGTTTGATAACAAATTTTTAACAAATCTTTACTTTTCAATGAACACAAGAAAAAAAAACTCCTGTTTTGTCCTGGCTGGAATTAAAAATGAAACGGCCAGGAGACTCTCGCTGTGCTCAGCGTTGCCGGGGACGTGTCCGCCGGGAGGTTTGGACCGGTGATTCTCAGGAGCAGCACAGACTGCGCGGAGGCCCCATCTTCATCCTGCCTGAGCCATGATGACTAGGGATGTGAATCTTTGGGTACCTCACGATTCCATTTTGATTCTTGGGGTCATGATTCAATTCAAAATCGATTCTTGATTCAAAACGATTCCCGGTTCAAAAATTGATTCTTGATTCAGTACATAGGGTGTTTAATGTCTACTCCAGTCTGCTGTGCATGAAGAGAGACAGTGTGGAAAATTATGGCATGAAAGCAGAGTAAAGTATGTACAAAATTATGTCATTTTTATATTTGAAAAAGTCAAATCAACTGATTGCAATAATCAAACATACAAAGGCAAACTTAAGACAAAAGGTAACATCTGTTCATGCTTAACTTGCACAAATGAAAACTGAGTTCTCAGTGACATCAAGAATAATAGATTCAAGTTATCAAAAAATAAATTAAAAGTGCTGCTTAGGGTTGGGCATTGAGAATCGAATTGAACCTGTTCTAACATTTCCGTTTCATCAGAATCATTAAGAAGTTTTAATTTCGATTCCTCTAAACAGTTTGTAAACAATTTTAATCCGTGCTTCGTCTTTGGTTTGCAGTCCGTCGACCGCCAGTAAAACAAGGAAGAAGCAGCCACCGAAAAACAACGAAGAAGCTGCCGAAAAACAACAAAGAAGCCGCCGAAAAACAACTCACCTCATTTAGACAATGCAAACATTTTGAACCCACCTCTTAAAAGAATCAGAACAGGAATCGTTAAAATCAAACGTGCCTGATCCTAGTGCTTTTTTTTTTTTTTTTTTTTAAATTGATTCTTTGCATTAATGAATTGATGCGGAATTGTCGAAGAAAAGGATCGCGATTTTCATGTGAATCGATTTTTAAAAAAAAAAAAAAAAAAAAGCACTAGGATCAGGCATTGTTTGAATTTTAAGATATAAGTTTTATAGGATATTTATAAGTTTTATAGGCAATCTTATCTTCCTGTCTTTTATTTTGAAGTTACTTCCGCCTCTGATGTCACTGCCATTCTACTTTTTGTCCAAAACAATAGATGAAAAAATGAATCTGCAAAAAACCAAAATCAGGCTGTTATTTGAATTTGGTTTTGTCATTTTTCGTTTTTTTAATTCTGACAACAAAAACGGAAAAACGGCTCCATTTTCTCGTTTTTTCGTTTTAAACCAAAAAGGAAAAAACGGGAAAACCACGGTATTTCCGTTTTTTGTTTTTGGTTTAAAAAAACGAACTGCCTGAAGGTACCCTGACCCCTGACCCCTGACCCGTGATCTATTCCTTTTTTGTTCAGTTAGCTTAGCTCAATCGTCCGACAAACAAATAACCCATAAAATTACAATTCAACATATTCTAACAAAATCAACAACAGCTACCAACAGTTACAGTCCTTACAACCTTAGCTAATGTGTTGTCACAGGTTAGATTGTCAAAATTAAAGTAATAACAGCTTAAATCCCTGAGGATCTACGCTAGCATTAGTGACGGTTGCATCCACTCGTATGCAGTTACCTTACGTTACAGTTCCCTCAAACAATATCACGAAGCACAATACAAACCATATACACAAGTTATCTATTAAGGGTACACTACTGATAAAATCTGAAGGTGCTTAGGTGACATTTACCTAGAGTGACCATATTTTGATTTCCAAAAAAGAGGACATTCGGCCGGCCACAACATAGCCTACTTAAATGATAGCCGCAGCTTACTCAAAGATGCCTTATCATTTTAATATATTTAAAATTTATATGTATGGATAGAAAATTCAGTTATATTACAAAATAATATCTCTCGAAGACAGAAATTCATTCATTCTACTGTCTGTCCCAAATGAGAAATGAAAAAAGGAATTTGCAAAAACCAAAATTGGTTTTCTGGTTTTTCGTTTGGAAACAAAAAAGGAATAGATCACATGATTTTGTTTTTCGTTTTTGGTTTAAAATGAAAAAAGGAAAAAACCACGTGACTTCCGTTTTTGGTTTCAAACGCAAAAACGAATTGGCTGAATGTCCGCAGACCTGTTCAATATTCAATCCAAAAAGGAATAACGGTAAAACGAATCGGCAAAAAACAAAAACGGGCCGGGTTTGATTAGTTTTTCGTCATTTGATTCTGACACCAAAAATGGTTTTCTTGGGTACCCTTGTTTTTTTGTTTTGAATCAAATAACAGATTTACCGTTTTTGGTTTTTGAATTACGAATTTTCCAATGTTACCCGGACCCACGACTAAAATTTGATTTTGATTTTTCATTTGATCCAACTTGCGTGACCCGGAACTGTTACGGAAGCGCATTGCATTCACTGGATCTCATAATTACGAGATAAGGATTAAAGTCGTAATATTTCGAGAATAAAGTCATAACTGAGAAAAAGTCATAATGTTACGAGAATAAAGTTGAAATATTATGAGATTAAAGTCATAATATTACGAGAATAAAGTCGAAATATTATGAGATTAAAGTAGTAATATTTCGAGAATAAAGTCATAACAGAAAAAGTCATAATATTACGAGAGTAAAGTCGTAGTTTTTAAGGAAATAACCAACAACAAACAGAATGTCAGATTGTCTTTAATGCCATTGTAAGTAGCCTACTTAATTAGGTTCGGGAACCGGCAATGTGCCGGTTCTGTATCAGTCGAAATGCGCTGTTTGTGACTCTGGGCCCAACTCTACCACTGATTGGCCAGTCTGACATTCTTCATAATACATAAAGAACGTTAGTGAAACACATAGGCCTAACAGAAACATGCGTTCGTTTGGGGACAAGTTAGTGGTGACGTTACTTGTTCCACAGGCGAAGGACCCGGACACATACAGTAGTGTAAATACACTGGTTGTAAGTAACTTTTAGCATACGTGAGTCTTTGTGACTCTTGTCTCTTGTCCCCTAACTAACGCTTGTTTCTGTTTCACTAACGATATTTTCACCAGATTAAGTCACATCCCGTTATTTCCCGTTATTTCCTCTGTAAACCTAACGTTACAGCAGCCTACAAGCATGCTGTGTCAATAAATCAGCTCAGACACTGTTAGAAATGTAGTATTTAGCCTAATAACATCATGCTACAGCAGTAATAACGTCAACTTTGGTCAAATGGCTCTAGCTCTCCCGGTAAATGTCATGTCAACTCTGGACACATTTTTCCTGTATGTTGACATAATGGCCGCGTTTCCCAGATCGCTTTTAGCTAAAGAGGATCTTTCACTAAGAAGGAGTTGTAAGATTGAGCTGACCCACTCTTAAAACTCTTCTTAGCCACCAAACACTCACAGACCAGCCACGGCAGGCACATTAATATTAGGCCTACACTAAGCAAGGAGATGTTACAGCAGTGCGCGCCGTATATATTTTGATCTATTTTATACTTCAGATTTATATTGTTAGGCATTAACTGGTGACAGAAAAGAGCTACCACGGTGCTGAAACTAAATCAATCGATGTCAGGCACATGGATCACCCACCACTTCATCATCGCACAAGTCACACACAGCCTACTTATTTTCGTCTTATTATTATTTTTCTTCCGCCAGATTTCGGTGCGTAACTTGTGCCACAGTTGAGCGCACACAGGGTCTTCATAAAACATAGATTCAAGATTCAATATGCACAGTAAGGACACGCGTTTCCCTGCAGAATGAAATTCGTTCTTTTCTGTCACCAATTAATATAATTAATTATATTAATAATAATAATAACAATATCAATCTGAAGTATGAAATAGATCAAAATATATACCGTGCGCACTGTTGTAACATCGCCTTGCTTAGTGTAATACTCGTAATTTACAATATTTACACATTATAATAAAGATATGGGATATAGTCAAGATGACACCACCCAAGTGGCAGCTGGTTACAGTAGTTCCGACCCCCCTTCGTGGATGTGCAGTATGTGGTTCTGAGCTAGGCAGTGGCCAATGTGGCACCTTTCCTGATCTCGAAATTACGAGATCCTGATCTCGAAATTACGAGATCTTGTAATTACGAGATCCTAAGGTGTCTATTTTTTTTTTTTATTTTTTTTTTTTATCCAGTGAATGCAATACGCTTCCGTAGAAAATAGTTCCGGGTCACGCAAGTTGGATCAAATGAAAAATCAAAATCAAATTTCAATCGTGGCCCATTTTTCGATTTGCTATTTTTGATGTGAGCATAAAATCAAAAACAAGAAAAACAAACCGTTTTTTGTATTTTCGAATGTGATTAATAAACGTATAATGAAAAAACAAACCATTTTTTCGTTTTTTGATTTTAAATTGAAAATTGAATGAACGAATGATACACGGACCCACCAATGCCCGAACAGTTCTTATTTTCAATTCACTATACACTAAAGAAAAATATCATATTATATTATATTATATTATATTATATTATATTAATCCACATGCTCACCTGCATTCAGCCTGCAGAGGTAGAAGCCCAGCTTCTGCTACTTGGTGTGTGTAACAATTTGTGTTCTAGATGATTCCATACATTTTTTTAATGTATGGAATGGTCACTGTGTTTTGAACTAATTAGAATCTTTCTGTGTTTGTATGCAGCATACCTGCCTCCATCAGTGATGCTGCCTCCTCGCCGCCTGCAGACTCTTCTGAAGCAGGCGATTGAGCTGCAAAGGGAGCGCTGCCTCTACCACAACACCAAATTGGACAGTGGACTGGACTCTGTGTCTCTGCTGCTGGACCACGCCTGCAGCAGGTAAGGCCGGAGACATACTTGGTTTTAACCATGCGTTTGCGTAGACAGCCAGCCCCCGCCATGAACAGAATTGTTCACCTATTTGCTTATATACTATGTGTGTTACCGGGGATTCCACTAGACAGCACACCAGATAACTTAGACCATATAGAACATGCAGATTTGCATGATGTAAACAATAAACTTGGCAATACTTGAGGAGGTCACTGTATTGTTCATTCTGAGATGAGCATGGATCACAGCAGAAAAAGTGGTGGTGGGTTTCTTTTTCTCATTCTACCAACACTGCCCTGACCATTCATGTGAGTATTACATCTTGCGGACACATTGCTTTAATTTCTGAGGACGTGCACAACCAACATTTCAGACGATGGATGCATGTGAACGCGAACATTACATGCCCACATTCAACCATAAATGGTTAATGCAAAGCACCACATGAATGTTGATGCATAGACATTAGGGCTGCAACTAACGATTATTTTCATTGTCGACTAATCTGTCGATTATTTTTTCGATTGGTCGACTAATCATTTTACCAAAAAATGTGTTAAAATGTTGTTAAATGTCGGTCTGTCTCTCCCAAACCCCAAAATTATGTCATCTAATGTCTTGTTTTGTCATCACGCCAAAGGGTTTTAATTCACCGTCATGGGAGAGTGTGTAAAGCTGCCAATATTTGAACGTAAGAAGCTGCAATAACAGTATTTTGGGGTACTTTTATAGTACTTTTCTATGAAAAATTACTCAAACCGATTAGTCGACTAATTGTTGCAGCCCTAATAGACATGAGCCGGCTGGTCAGTGGTTCCTCAAGGTGATTAATGGCAACAACCAAATGGAAAAAAAGAAAATGAATTTTGTTGACACAGAAATGTTGCTGTTTGTATGTCAGGTGGAGGCAATTAAATATTGAGCGAGATTTCATTTAGGATTTGAGTTGACTTATATTTTACGATCAGAAGGTGCCTATGGAAAAGTTATGGCTCACTAGCACAAGCACTATGGAGCTACATTTGTTTCTTTATTATTCAAAACTTTTTAACTTGCAAGCAAAGAGTACTCATTTATAAGCAAAATGATCACACGTTTGTACTTACAAACTTGATTTTTGATTGCAGTTCAAGAAATATGCTCTCAAAACAGTTTTATATGATTGCAACAAAAAGACACAAAAATCTCCATAAAGCACAAGTAATACTGCTGTATTTAAATATTTATTTAGTGGATCTATAAGAAACATGACATGAATTCAAATGTGTCATTATACATACAATGATTCCTCACATTTAATGTCAATAGTCTGGCTTCAGTTCACCAGCTCACCATCTGTGTCGCCAGTTTCCCCTATCTCCAAAATGTGCGTATGCATGGATCAGTTTTCCTAAATTTACACGCATTTCCTTCTCAAATTTTCCTTATAAATCCCAATTTATGCTCAGAAAGTGGTATACGCACTAGAGGTGTGCAGTATCATATCATTCATGATAGGGCTGTCAGAATGAACTTCGCTATTTGAAAACAATTCGAATTATTGTAAAAATAAGCATATTCGACGTTGGAAACTAAGGTTCGAATATTTGACTTCCGGTACGACGCAAATAGGCCTGGGACGATTAGTGATCAAATCGTATATTGCCGATTGGAGGGTTGCCAGGTGATTTGCTAGATATCAAGGCGATTTTGAAAAAAAAACAAACAAAAAAACGGCACTCTACCGTGCATGAAGAGATGTTTTTTGGGGAAATACATGACTGTCAGAGAAGCCCTGTTTACAAACAGAGCTACAATCCATCTCCTCTCTCTCTTCTCAGCAGAGGGTACCCTGTCAGCCCTGCGCTGACAGTGACAGGGTGCATCTCTTTGATCCGAAGTGACACAGCCCGTTTGCTCATGCTTCGGGGTCGTTCAATAGAGTAATTGCAAATAAATATTGTTTTAATGTGTAACTATTGAAATGTTCACAAGGGCTTTCATAAATTCCTACAATGTTGCGGCACTGCCGCCTTTGCAGGTTAAAAGTTAATGACAGTGACTTGAAGTGAGGAGGAGCAACACGTCTCCGGCTTGTCAGCGCAGCGCTGACAAGCCGGAGACGCTCACTTTTGCATGTGATGCAAAATATTAAAATAACGTCATAACACAAAAAATATAAAAATGCGGTGGTAGGTCTAGGCTATAGCCTATACCAAGGAAAAATTCGAATATTATTCGAATTTTTAACATAAAAAACATTAAAAATTCAAATCTGATTTTGGGGGAAGATTGACAGCCCTAGTTCATGATAATACTGGCATAATTTTTGATATGATATGAGAAATTCATATCATGATAACTGCAATATTTTGAGTTGTTGACATATTGACGTCATACTGTTACCCACAGCAACAACAAGCATGGCTGAAAGCGAAATTATTACTGACTCGGCGGTGGTCCCCAAAATAGGAGCACCTTCAGTAGTGTGAAATAAACTGTGACATCCTGAATATTTTATGAACAGCCCCGGACTCCTCAGACTCTTTTAGCGACTAATCGCTCAGAGGGATCTCATTCAGTAGCTCATCTGTCAGTAGCACAGCGTCTCTCCCTCTTCTTTCTCACTGTGCACATAAGGGGGTTGGTGTCGTCAAGTGATTTTGTCATAAACCTTTGACAATGTGAACCTATGTAACACTCACAGCTCGACAAAAAACTGTATATGTGTGAATGTGCAATAGTTATAGCAGCACAACAGCCTGTCCCAGGTTACAGCATGATGATTAGAGGAGAAATGGCAGAGCATAAAGGTCCAGATTGGACAAAAACAACTCAATCATTTAGGATTTTGCTAAAAGAGAAATTGCCTGTTGATTTATATATAAATAGATCCCAGGGTACATTTTTTGTATCTGTATCTGCAAACTGTTTAAATGTGTAATTTACGGTAGATTTGATTTTGTTGTACTATTAATATTGTATAAAGAATCTGAATCTCACTCTGAGTTGCTTTTGTTAACTAAAGAAATGAGAGATAATTTTTGTTTAGTTTATACTGAATATTTAAAGGCAAGCTGTTAGGTTGACACGTAAAACTATGCCACTTATTTTGTTGCAATTCTGTGTTCTTAAATTAATAGTAAGATATTTTTTCACTAATTTGTCATATTATTAAGAGTATTGATAGCATGATGAAGCTTGATGTCTGCCTATGTGTGTTCCTAATCTCTAGGAAACAGTTCCCCTGCTACACTCAGCAGATTCTCACTGAACACTGCAATGAAGTCTGGTTTTGCAAGTTTTCCAACAACGGCACAAAACTGGCAACCGGGTCCAAAGACACCACCGTCATTGTGTGGCACGTGGACATGGTAATCAGCCACTTATTCAGCATCAGTTTTAGTTCAGACAAGAAAAAATGAGTTGGCATGTGAGAGTTATAAGAACCAGATAACTGACTGGTTTGTGTGTTGGTTGACAGGAAACCCACCAGTTGAAGTTGGTGAAGACTCTGGAGGGTCATGCTTATGGTGTTTCATACCTGGCCTGGAGCCCTGATGATGTCTACCTGATAGCCTGTGGTCCTGATGACTGCTCTGAGCTGTGGCTCTGGAATGTACAGGTATAAATATTAAAAATAATGATATAATAAAAGTTATTCATCATTCAAGAAATCAACACCAGTTCACTGGTTCACTTAGTACAGTGGCCAGCACTAAGTTACAATACAACTTTTACTAAAAATCTGCTCTATAAGCGTCAATAAATACAGTCCACCTTTTCCAACATTCTTCAAATAAGGCTGAGTCTCAGTTCAAAGGTTTATTTTTGGAACAAAAATTTCATGCATCACATTAAACCAGTCAGTTAAAGGAGATGGTTCTTGATGTAACCATATTTTCATGATCACTTTTTTGCTGGGAACCAGCATAATTCTAAAAATGTACATACTGGAGAGGCCAGGGCCTCTTTCCCAAGTATAGGACCTGAAAACTAATATCAGTCTTCAGATTTAACACCTTTTTCACGCTATCTTTAATTGATCTCCAAAACTGAAGGATTCCAGGGCATTCCCAAAACATGTGATAATGAGCTGCTCTCTCTTCTCCACAGCCTCTTCAACATGCTGTCTGCTTCACCTTACACTGTTTGATTGCTGGTGTTATAAAGTATCTGACCATATTTTTCCAGTTAAACTCTTTCCAGGACAATGAGTTGGTTGATTTCCATAGCTTGTTTTTTTAAGTTTTCCCACTCCTCCTTTGATATTTTGAAAGTTTCCCTGACTTTCCCACTTTTCTTTTATATAAAACATGTCACCCGACTTTAAACTTAGAGACCCTTATATAATCTAGATATTGTTTTATGACCTGGCTCAGCTGTATATGCTGAGCTAAACACATTTAGTTTGCCAGATCCAGAACTAAGATTTTCCAGATCTTCTTTACTTAATGTCTCATCACCATGGTTCCTCAGCTGTAGAAATCTACAAAAATCCTGCCTGGCCAAGCCATATTGCTCCCTCGGGTAGCTACAACATGTCTGACACACTGTCAGCTGGTTATTGGCTTCCTTCCTCTCGGACTAAGTTGTGATCCACATTTAGAAAACTCCTACAAATATAACAACAATGAAAATAATTGAATGGCCACTGCTGTCACCTCTGATGTGAATATAAATCAGAACAGGCTACTGGCCATTCATATCTAAATTGAGGCTGCTAGGATCATTCTGCATTATTTATGTATTTTTTTTATTTTTGCACACTCAAACTTCCTGAGAGCAGACCGTAAACAGATGATGAGAGTCCCTGCAAGAAAAGGCAGCATTTTATAGATATCAGTTATGTACTAATAGCAAATAGTGTATTAAGTATTGCAAAATGCTTAATGTAGCACATGAAATTGGGATTATTTCATTATCTACAATTAACCATGCAGCTCTAGGTCAAATGCAGTTCTTGCTCATAATTAGAAACAGTGGGTTGTTAACTCCTCCATGACCACCAGCTGTCACAGCCTGTCCATCTGTCACACACTCATCACAAACTCCACTCCAAACACATTCTTCATGGTCCAAGGAATTCCCAGTCTTGGTAGCAGAGCGGCTGTCTATTTGTTGCTGTTGATAATGTCAGCTCACTGTACAGAGTTGACACCCCCCTGTTCTTTGCTCTAATTAGTTGACCCACATTGTTCTTTCCAGCTTCTGTAGCACCAACACAAACACTTAAAAGAATCATGTAGGGGAAACACTGCGCAGGAACCTTTCACCCTGCTACCATCTTGACAAGTGATACAGGAGTTTCTGCTGCCATACCACCAAACTAAAGAGCAGCTTCTCTCCTCAGGCTGTGAGACTCCTTGGCTCCACCTCATCCTCCACACTCCACCATAAAAAAGAGTTTATTATTTGTTGTGGTATGTGCTATATCATAGGCAACTGGACTTGCTTGCGTTTCTTGAAGACATTGCGCTTCTCATCTAAGAAGCTTCTTCAGTTCTAAATGACTGGAACGAAGTTGCAGGCTATAAACCCTGTGTGGGTGAGAACCCTTGCAGAGTCGTAGGGGTCACGTGAGCTCGTAGTTTCAGAGTTGTTAACGACTCAGAGTTAACGATTTTGAAATTAAGAGCTCACATGACTGTTAGAACTGAAGAAGCTTCTTGGATGAGAGGCGAAACGTCTTCGATATAGCACTTACGATTACCATGACCTAGATGACTGAGAATCTTCACCGACAAACATATGTGTTCTGGTTTTCTTTTGTAGCATGAGGAGACTACAACTGCCCTTTATTGTGCAACCCTGTGTTGTACAATGACAATAATAAACCTACCAAAACTGCTCCAGTCACTGTCATGTAAAAAGGCGCAGGACTCTGTGAATGCAGCCATACTGCATTCTCATTGCATTTAGTCTTTTTCACCCAACTCAAACCTGAAGGTAGATCTGTAACCACTAATGAGAAATGGGATTTCAGGCAGTTAGAAGGTCACATGACAGAAAAATAAATCAGTGTGTTGTAGGGTGAGTTACTGATCTTTTCAGTCATGTTTTTCTCCCCCCCCCCCCCCCCCCTTCTGTTGTCCAGACGGGGGAGTTACGAACAAAGATGAGTCAGTCTCATGAGGATAGTCTGACCAGCGTGGCCTGGAATCCAGATGGTAAACGCTTCGTCACCGGCGGCCAGAGAGGCCAGTTCTACCAGTGTGTGAGTATCTTTCACAGTACACAAACAATGCTGTGAGTGCCCACAGGCTCTGAGCATTACATATGGTCCATACTTTTTAGTTTTGAAAAAAAATTACATTTATAGAGGTGCACTGATAGTACGTAAATCACAGAACAATGACATTTAGATAACTAAACATTGAGACTCTTTTGTCTTATAAAGTAGCATACCAGTGTGATCTGGGTTTCATCTGAGCTAGTATGTATACTGAACAATAAATGAAATACAAAACTTTTGTTTCTGTTCCCATTTTTCACAGGTTCATGTGAAAGATTATTTATGCACTGAGAAGATATATTTCACTCAAATGTTGGTCACAAATTTGTTAAAATCAGTTTTAGTGAGAACATTCCTTTTCCAAGATAATCCATCCACCTGACAGGTGTGACATATCAAGATGTTGATTAAACAGCATCATTACTACACAGGTGTGCCTTGGGATGGTCACAGTAAAAGGACTCTCTAAAATGACACAACACAATGCACAGATGTCCCAAGTTTTGAGGGAGAGTGCCATTGGGATGCTGACTGCAGGGATGTCCAGAGCTGTTCATTTTACAACCAAAAGACATCTCCAAGGTTGTTTCCATGAATTTGTCAGTACATCCGACCAGCCTCACAACTGCAAGGTACACAAGGGGCAACCTTGTGTATCCACACCAGCTCAGGACCTCAACATCCAGCATCTTCACCTGCAAGATTGTCTGAGACAAGCCACCTGAACAGCTGATGCAACAGTTGGTTTGCACAGCCAAAGAATTTCTGCAGAATCTGTCAGAAATAGTCTCAGTCAGGCCAACTGCATGCTCATTGTCCTCATCAGGGCCTTGACCTGACAGCAGTTCGTGGTCAGAACCCACTTGTACAGTATCTTGTTTGATAATTAGGCCTGCTATGCTTGTGTCTGACAGGCTATGTTGTATTTGTTAATGTCAGGTTGTCATAATAATACCTCTCAACATTGTCAACTTTGAATAAAAAAAATTACATAATTGACCAAATAACACTTTAAGCTACAGTTGGTCACTTTTAAGAAAATAAGTTTTTGCCGTAGTAACTGAAAGAAGTACATGAGAAAAGTAGAGGTGGTTATTATGGGCTGAAAGATGTGCCACCAGAAACTGAATTTGAATCATTTATATTTAGGGCCCGAGCGAGGTCCCTATTGTTTTTCTCCTGATTATTTATTTATTTATTTATTTTTAATTATTTTTTTTTTCTTCCGCCAAAATGATCGCATGTTTCACTACCTGAACATACCCCAAAACTCAGCAAACTTGGAATATAAGTCACACCTGGCGAAAAATTTTATAATCTATTGTCCTCTGGAATTTCCACCACTAGGTGGCGCTATTATTAAAAATGCGTTTTGGCTCATAACTCCCATATACTTTGTTGCACATTCAAAAACCTTATATCCACGCGTTCAGTGAATTGTGCTGAATCTTGTGGTAAAGGCCACGCCCATTTCTGCATTTTTTCCCCGCAAATTCGCAAAATGTCACAAACCTACTTTTTCGAACTCCTCCCAGGCAGTTTCACCGATTGGCATGAAACTTTGCACACAGCATCTGTGGACCCTCTCGACAAAAAGTTATTAAAAGAATTTCGATATTCCAAACAATACTCAAGTTATTAAATAGCAACTTCCTGCAGATTTCGTTCTAAACAGGAAGTGCTGCATATTTCCACATTGGTGTATCCGAATGACATGAATCTTAGTTTACCACTTCCTCATGAGCCCCTGAGGCTCTGTGCAAAATTTCGGGTGATGACCACAAGGTGGCGCCTTTTAAATTGAAGTATTTTATATCTCAACATCGGTTGGGCGGATTAACACAAAACTTGGTATAATTATTGTCAATGCCCTCCTGAGGATATCTGATTAAGTACTTTCCGTTCTGCCACTAGGTGGTTCTCTGGTGGCCTTCTAATTTAATATTTGGCACTGTGCCAACACCATAACACTCATGGAAATAAAATTGATAGGGGTGGTATAGACTGGTCCCTGTAACTCACACACCAAAAATGACCAGCAGGTGGCGCTATTTTCAATGCAAAAGTGTTTTTGGCCCACAACTCCCACATAACATGTTGCATGTTTTGAAACCTTATATCAAAGTGTTCCCTGAATTCAGCTGAATTGTGTGATGTAAGGCACGCCCACTTTTGCATTGAATTTCCATTCGCAAAATCACGAACAATGAAAAACTTACTTTTTCGAACTCCTAAGCAATTTGACTAATTTGCACCAAACTTTGCATGAAGCATCTGTGGACCCTCCTGACAAAAAGTTATTAAAAGAATTTTGATAGTCCAAAAAACGGCCAAAATATAAAACAACAAATTCCTGCACATTGTTTTCAAAACAGACAGTCTTTCATATCTTGACCAAATACAGTCGGATTACCACAACACTTTTGCTAATTGTGTTCCATGGCCCGATGAGGGTTTGTGCTCATAAATATTGGAAAAATACATACGTTGGTTGGGTGCTTACCTGTATATTGGAAATGTAAGTAAGCGATAACGTTTTTTTTTTTTTTATTACAGCTGACAAGACATTTAGGTGCACGCCCCCCGACGGCAGCATGCCGCGTGCGCGTGGACTGCGAGGGCCCATTCATTGCTGCTTGCAGCTTTAATTAGGGCCCGAGCACCTAGCGGTGCGAGGACCCTATTGAAATGCAAGGATTTTTTATTATTATTCTTCTTATTCTTCCTCCAAATGAATTGCCTTTTTGGGAGGCTTAACATACCCGAAAACTCATGAAACTTTGCACACATCTCAGAACTGGTGAAAAATTTGATATTTTAAGGGTCTTGTGCGCTGGTTCCAAAAAATGACTCAGTAGCGCCCCCTACAAAAGTTTGAGGAAACAGCCCCTGAAGCTAGTTTAACTCACATGTATGAAACTTGGCAGGCTTACGTAACGCGCAGAAACGTACAAAAAAGCCTCTTGGAGGCATCCTCTAAACCCAGAGGGTTTAATTTTGATGTCTTGCCATGAAACAGGAAATTGCTATAAATTTGGAGTAAATGGTCCGTTGTCCACCAAACTTGACATGATTCATATTTGTCCCACCCTGAACACATTTATATGACAATATTCCGTGATAGTCATAGCGCCACCTAGTGTCGAAAGGAAGTACTTCTTACCAGACACTTATCTTTGGATTCACCTGAAATTTCAGTGCTGTGGTCTATATTTGATGTACACAAACGTGACATATCATTAGTGTCTATGCGCGCTGCAGAGGGTTTACTTTTGATGTCTTGCCATGAAACAGGAAATTGCTATAAATTTGGAGTAAATGGTCTGTTATCCACCAAACTTGACATGATTCATATTTGTCCCACCCTGAACACATTTATATGACAATATTCCGTGATAGTCATAGCGCCACCTAGTGGTGAAAGGAAGTACTTCTTACCAGACACTTATCTTTGGATTAACCTGAAACTTCAGTGCTGTGGTGTGTATTTGATGTACACAAACATGACATATCATTAGTGTCTATGCGTGCTGCAGAGGGTTTAATTTTGAGGTCTCGCCATGAAACAGGAAATTGCTATATTTTTGCCGTAAATGTTCTAATCTCCATCAAACTTCAGATGATTCATATTAGTTCTGCCCTGAAAACATTTATATGACCGTATTTCCTGATACTCATAGTGCTACCTAGTGGTGACAGGAAGTAGGTCTCAAACACTCTTTTGATTATCTGAAAGTTAAATGCTGTGGTGTATATTTGATGTATAAAAACAAGATGTATAATTACTGCGCTCTCCAACTCCCTCTAGTGGAAAGAGGAAGTGATACAAAATGTGAAATATGTCATTCCAGCACTGTATCAGGGATATGCCAAGTCACTCCTGCATGCGATGTCTAACTTTGACAGAAATGTATTGACGCGTCAGAAGACGTCCTGCCAGCCCCCCACCCCGAGTTGCGTGAAGGTGCGAGGGCCCGTTCATCGCTGCTTGCAGCTTTAATTAGGGCCCGAGCACCTAGCGGTGCCAGGACCCTATTGAAATGCAAGAATTTTATTATTATTATCATTATTATTATTATTATTATTATTATTATTATTCCTCCAAATGAATTGCCTTTTTGGGAGGCTTAACATACCTGAAAACTCATGAAACTTTGCACACATCTCAGAACTGGTGAAAAATTTGATATTTTAAGGGTCTCGTGCGTGGGTTCCAAAAAATGGCTCAGTAGCACCCCCTACAAAAGTTTCAGATAACAGCCCCTGAAGCCAGATTAATCTACGTGTATGAAACTCGGCAGGCTCATGTAACACTCCAGGACCTACAAAAAAGCCTCTTGGAGGCATCCTCGAAACCCAACAGGAAGTCGGCCATTTTGAATTTACTGTGCAATTTTGATGCATTTTTGGCCATTTCCAGGGGTCATAAATGAACAAACTAGTCCTAGAGATTTCATCCGATCGACTTCAAACCTTGGTCTGTCCCATCCCAAGACCTTGAAGATGAAAAGTTATCAAAAGCTTGAGTTTTCGTCAATGCGTGTGACCGTGGGATGGCGTCAAAGTTAGGGGTCTCGCCACTAAACAGGAAGTAGTTTATAACTCCAGCATACATGGTCCAATCTTGCCCAAACTTCACAGAATTGATGACAGTCCCGCCCTGAACACATCT